CTTCCAATATTACTAAGGTAAAGTACTTTTTCCTCTTCTAAATATACATGGCGTTTCATTCGGCTTTCACTTTTTATAAATTAATTAATGGTAACAACTTTGAATATTCTAATTTCAATTACCTTTCAAGAGATTTATATTATTGAATATTTGTGGTTAGCATTCCTTTTCGATTAAATAGATTTCGTTAGAATTAAAATGCTTTCTAAAAGTAGATTCGAGCGAGTCATACTTTTAATTATTTACAAAGTCGTCATATAGAACGCTAAAATAATAAGCTCGTTTAACAAAAATTGTATCCAGAAGCGTTGTTTTTTCAAAAAAGCCCTGAGATGGCATAAACTTAAAAATGCGTTTTATTGCATATATTGACCAACTAGGTCTACAAAATCGTAACAATGCAATAAAGCGAGTATAAGTATTTTAGATAAATATAAATTGAAAATATGTTTTAACCGTCCAAACCAAAACTTTTAAAATAAAAATACGCCATCCTTCTGTAATTCTACTTTACAACTTTTACCCTTTTCTATAACCTCTTCTTCATTTCAATGTCTCGTCTCATTGTAGATCATATACATGTAAATGTTTTTTTACTTGTATCATTAATTTTAGCATTGTGTATTGTATTTTTCTATATATTTTCAATTTATTAGAGGTGCCAAATCTTTAAATTTCCAATTATCTGGAGAGGGAGATAATATTGCAATTAACCCCCAAATGTACCCCATTTCATGTTGAAATCGTCAAAACAAAGTTAATTTTTCCCAAAATTCGAACAAAGACTTTCGTAGGAATCAAATTACACCAGTTTTAAGAACATAACATGTTCCACCCAGTCATTATCAAATTAAAATTTATATTTTCAAGACCTTTGGCACTGATTGAAATAGTTATATCTAAGTTCCAATCCGAACGATGTACATAATTACCCTTATTGAGATAATAGGAGTTTCTGTTTATAACGTGAATCACGAGCTCGCGTTTACAGTATTTAATTAGATTCAAGATCAATGTATAAATACGACTCGATATCTGTCAATGGAGGCTAGTGTGGATAAATGTTTTAAGATTTGTATTCTGTGTGTTGTGAAAATTTACGAATAAAAACATACAGAGATTTTTAAAGTTTCTTCATTCACGTGGGCGTTGAAGCTGAAGGGTGAACGGGTGACTTACGAGTCAGAGACAATCTATAAATTAGCAATATACGGTGACATCACATTCATTTACCAATTATACATGCAATAAAAATTCTCAACGATCCAGATTAACAGGTGATAATGTAACCTCGATTACTCGAGTTGTACTGAGAAATCATTTCAGCCTGATATTAGTAAGCTGGTGGCACAAAAGAGATGCCAAACGTCAGGACATATGTAATGAAAAAAACATTGAGTTTGTTCTGTAGTATTTCTGTAAATTTTAGGTCTATATCTTGGATTAAGTCATTTTCAGTGTATGTATTATTCTTTCCTTATCAAAACTTTGTTCAAAATTTTTTTGGATAGTTGACATAAAAATTTATGTATTTGTAATAAATACAGTAAATTGCAATAATGCAAATTGTGAAATGCAAAAATTAATATGCAAATGGCATTCGAAATTTAAGAAAATAACAAAACTTTATTCGGCTGTTTAATTGCATCACAATATATGTCACAAACTACACCTATCTAAAATACGTTTCAAGTAAACATTATTAAAATATATCGAAAACTGTTTGCGGCCCTTTGCACAATTTCGAAAATACAATGCGAAAACCCACGAGTTTGACACCCCTGCCCTATATGACTGTTGCAACAGCAGCATGCTCACGAAGCGTATTACTGCTGAGGATCGGATATGAAGTATTACTTTAATACTGATCCGAGGCAAATCGTACTTCTGATCCGTACAAAAAAGAGACCCCTCTAGTGATATGCTTGTGAAGCGCTTTCGCCGATGTTTGTTTGCATATTCATATGTATGCATTGCGATGCATATGTTTGATATTGATTTCTTACTTGTTTTTTTTTCGCACGGAAATATGGGTGACCTCAGATGAGTTTCTGAAAACGAATTCAGATATGTGAAAATTTATACAACATTATAATTTTTCCCTTCGAGAGTCTCAATGAAATTGAAAGAAAGTTTATTTTACGTCAAGTCAATAATCAACAAAACAAAAAGATAGGAAAACTTCTGATCCAGAATACCGCAGAAAAATATGACAAATTACGAAAATTGACTATTGAAAAGTTTTTTTTCGAAAAATTGAAAACCAAACCTATAAGCACAACAATCAGAAAATTAGTAAAGACAAAAATAGCAAATATCATGGTCAAAAATCAAACTACCATACCAAGAAGAAGAATCAGTGAAATACTATTAGTGATGTATGTAAACAGGAAAGAAAAAAATTGGGGGAAAATGTGTTATTGTCATTAGACTTCATGAAAGCTTGTACTATGTAGATTTGAATTACTTATAAAGTGTTGAAGGGATTTGGAATTGAAAAAAAAATTATAAGTTTCATTCCGACATTGTACGGAGGTTCTGAAGCAAGAATATTAGTAAATAGATACATTTTATATCATAGGAAAGAGCAACACTTAGAATGTACTATATTCATAATTCCAATATATAAACCAATTAATATTCTAATAAACCAATAAAAAATAATATTATTCATGAAATTTTTGTACCTGGAAATAGTGGTGAATAAGAAAGTTTTGGATTTTCTGATAATATATATGACTCTTGCATTAGCTGAAGAAAACTCTCTAAAAGGAGCATTGAAAGCAACTAATAAGCATGAAAAAACAACACAGGCGCGGCGGTGTGGCTCAACGGGCTAAGCGTTAGGAATACGCTCGCCACCGCACCTCTGATTACTCTGCGTGGGTTCGTAGGTTCGAATCCCATGCAGGGATGGTTATGTGCGAGAGGATTGCTGGACTCCTCGCCGTCGTTGGGTGGTTCACGTAACGGCTGGTCGGTTACGGCTTCCTCCACCACCAAGTCCATGCTTCCGAAAACAAACAATATAACTAATCCCATACCCGAATTGGAATGGTAACCGGACGAGAGGCCGTGGCACGCCATATGGATAAGCCGTTTTATCGGCTTTCCTCTCCCCCGGGATAAATATGTAAATCCTATCCTCCTATCCTAACATGCATGAAATTGAATAAATCTAAAACAAAATTGATGGAAATATTGAATGTGACATTTGGGAATATTGATAAGTGTCAAATTAATTGGATGAAATGTCTTGAAGAAGCAAGGAATGTAGTAAAAGAATTACAGGAAAATATTACCGGTAATTTAACTTTAAAAGGGATATATACTAGATATTTACGGTTTAGCATATAGTTTTCATGCTAATACCATAGAAAAGGTAAATGATTTGGTGATCAATCAATCAAGTTTATTTTTTTCCAACCAGTAAAAAATAAATAAATAGCACAGGCACAAATTACAAGAAAATAGTACACAATTTTACTGGGGAAGGGAAGTCGCGGGGAACCAAAAGTGGTTATCGAGCAGCGACACCCGAAGAAGAAATTCATATTTAATGGAAGAATCATACTGAAGATAGGGACTTCGTGCAAACCAAAAACGGGAATGTGATTATTTATTCTCACAATCTTAATGCTACTTCCCTCGTCGAATACAACATTGGACAACAACTTAGCAAGGATTAGAGCTAGAAATACATGTTTGCATAAATTTTGTCTTCAAATTTAGTACTGTATAGAATAATATTGGATTTTTTAAAAGATTTAGATATTCATTTTTTGTCATGCAAAAACCAATATAAAGCAAAATAAACTAAAAATCTAGAAACATTGATTCACAGCAGTTAAAAGTATCTCTAAATTACACAATCATGGGAAAACAACCCAACAATAAATTCGAATTGATTCAGACAACAGGAACAGCCATTATGCTACAGTCAATCTCTAGTACAGTAGTATATTTAATTATACAGTATAATTCGGTAAAATCATGCGGAACTCACCGACAATGACGGTAGTCTCGCAAACACAATTCCCGATATTTTTAATTAGATATTGAACCTTGATCTTCGATTCCCTGCGACTTCCTTCCCCAGTAAAATTGTATGATTATATATTTTTCTTTTAATATTGTATACGATTGTTTTTTTACTTATTATTCATTCAGAATTAGATAGTTTGTTAGCGACATCTGATCGTAGTAGTATATATTTACGATCTGATTTATATACGCACCACTTAATATTACAAATACATCAAAATAAGGCTGAGTCATATGACCACTGATGAAACTGAAGTAGCGTGCCAAGCAACGGGATACCGTAGTTACCGGTACCGTACCGGTGCTTGGAAGCCATTAGTTCTTAGGAAAGTAGACACAAAAATGGAGTACCGGCAGTACAGTAGTAGTCTATGTAAATTTTATACGAGAAGTATGACATAAGAAAACCCAACATAGTGATGTAGACATTAATTTCTGTGGCTGGTTGGGGCAGATTAATTGTCTACGCAATTGTAATTTAGATATTGCATACGAAAATACAATATAATAATAAATATAAAAGAAAAATAATAAAATGTTCACAATAATATTCTGACAAACTAGGCTAGGCTATATGAAAACTTTTAATTAAGTAATTACATGCTAATGCGGAATATTTCCCAGTAAAAACAAAGCGAAGAATAAGAAATATTGCCAGAAAGGAATTGTGCGTATAAGGTTAAAAAGAACCTTAATTTGTTAGTCATCTATTTATAAATTGCGAATATTTTGATTTACAGACTTATTGAAAATAGTATCAGAAAATTGAATAATGCCAGACTTGTGAGAATTTCGCCCTGAGCTATTTATTGCATTCCAATATTACAAGAGGATATTTGAATATTAGTGTGTTTTTACTCGGTCTTAGGCTACTACTTACTGAATACAGCGCAGAAAAGAGGAAAACAATTTTCTTTCATTATTTATTAGCAACCATGAAATTTTAAACAATTTGATGGGAAACAGTATACAGTAGTAGGGAATGATCACAAGTTTATACCAGTATTAGTAATCTTCGAAATCTTTAATTAACCTAACATGACGCAATAGGAGCACACCAATAAGTAAAATCAAAAAAATTTAGAGCTCCAGAAGTATGTGCACCAAGATGGCGCACAACCAGAACACAGTATGTGTACCAGGTTAAGGTGCGTCATGTTAGGTTATTTAAAAATGTTGAGGATTACTGATATAAACTCGTGATCATTCCGTACTACTGTATACTGTTTCCCATCAAAATTTCACAGACGCTAATAAGTAATGTAAAAAAAAGATTTTTCTCTCTCTTCTGTGCTGTTTCCCTCTCTCTACTGCGCTGTTTCCCTCTCTTCCGTGCTGTTTCGCGCTATATTCAGCAAGTAGTAAGACCCGTTTTTACTTAAAATTAGCAGATATAACATTTGGCTACAAAGAAGCTTCATTATATTTAAAGGAAGTCTCCCTGATTACCACATCGTTATTAAACAAATATGAACAGCGATCAGTTCAATATTGAAAAAACAGAAAATCGCCTAATTGCTGAATTGTATTAATTAAAACTTGAAAAATACAGAAATTGCATTATAAATTATGAATCTAGTATATATTAAAATAATATCTGATAGGTTTAAATTTTTCTTCACATATTTTAATTTACTGTAATAAAAATTGATAAGCTGTATTCCGACATGATATCAACACTCATTATCAGATTATCAATGGAATGGATAAACATATGAAAACCAATATACTTTATGATTGCTCGTTTTCTTATGTATATTTGGTTATATTCTATTATCAAAAAAATGTGATTTCATAATTTGTATTTTATACAGGGGACAAGAAACACATGAGTAATCCCATAAACTTTAAATGCATTATGACAAGATGTAGTGATTAGTTTTAAATCGAGCATTGAGGCAGAGTAATGTGGACTATGCTCAATATTGAATGTGTCCATAACAAGCGTAATTGCTTAGGAGCTCTCTTTGTATTCCTGTTTTTCCAAGGTATTTCATCATGCTCCTCAGCTAAGCCATGGCTTTCATGTGGAATCAATGGCAGTGATGAACATGGTCAATTCCTTCAACATCACGAAAACTTTACAATAATATGTAAATTACAGGATCTCAATACTTCAGAATTGTGGACTGTTAGTTATTTGAAAACTACCATAGTCAATTCTACATTTCGAAAGATATATAATTGGGGAGGAGAATCATCCAATTCAACCATATACCAATTACCTATTTCGTTCAAAGATTTATTTCATGAATATGATGATAAAATATTGCCAATTACTTACTCTTATTCGAACTTGAAATGGAATGTTATTACAGTATTTCATAGTCCGGTTTTGGAGAATCATCTTTGGAATCACTTCACAGTATCATATCTTGAAACAGACAGCATGTTTCGTTTTTCCTGGGGAACACCATTAAAGAGTAATAGCATAACAATAACTGGACCGCAAATAGTGTTTGCTACATTGCCGTGCCAACCTGGTTCTGGTCTTGTGATTATTTCATCATCATCAAATATATTTGTTGCTGTGTCATGGAACAATTTCAAAGATGAAAACAACATTCTGTGGTATGACGCAACTTGTCACATGCAAGGAATTGGAGGGTATTGTGCAAAATTTATGAAGATCTACGATGCTGTATTTGCATTCAACAGATTGTACCTTGTCTCCTCTGGGGGTATTTTCTCTAGTTCATTATTAGATTCAGAGTGTGTTATTCAACCTAATGGCAAATGCATGACAGCTTTTGAAAAATCAAATTTACCTGAGTTGTCTGATATTGATGTCTTATGGGAAAAAACCAAATTGATATATTCACCGGTCTGTGCACATCTGGACCCTTTATCAATACCTGGTGATGGAATTGTCTTGAGCATCATGCTTAAGAGTGAACAGACAAGTATGCTCATGAAGCTGGTGAAGCCATTCAAGACTTGGGAACTTGTTGAAAAAAGCTTCTTGCTTAATAGTATGAAGCTTGGAGCTATACATTTTAATATTCATACTCAGATGATTGTCACTGGTCAATACCGTGTGACAGACAATGTGTCATCATCATATTCTGTCACCTACCCAATTTCTGATATTGAGAAAAACAAAATAAGACCTTTAATATTTTCACTCGGGAATTTTATTCCTTATCAAATAATATCCTTGTCAAATCATTTCATCTATATGGTAGGAAAATTCGCACTTTTGTATTCTGTTGATGGAGGTATAACTTATTTGAAATTGAAAGATCTGAAAAGGGATGAACTTCTGGTACAAGCTGTTAAGCATGAATGGTTGAAATCTATTGCTTTTCTATTTAACTCTGGTAGAATTTTGGTAACTCAAGTTGGATTTACAGATGTCCATGAATTGCAATCAAATATGCATGGAATTACCAAACTAATTTTCAATAACAATGGTGTACTTTTTGCTTTAAAAATATTTACAGAAAATATTGGTAATCTTCCGGTTTTGAGCATTCAAGAGATACAAATCAGGAATAAGAAGCAATGCACATCTTCTTTAATTTTGAGCGGGAAAAATCTACTGAAGTCTGTTGTTTTTCTCGATGTAGGAGCAAAATTTCATATTGAAATGAATGCGGTTCATGAACCTAATTTATATTCCAATTCTACAAGATTTCCCACTTTAGAAACAGTGATAACAAATCCCCAGATTCTCCATAGCAAAATTGAAATACGAAACCTGACATTATTCAACCAACAAGTATCAGTAACAGTTCAAAATGTTATGCACAGTGAAGGTATAAGTGCAGTGACAATATTTTTGCGTGATACAGATTCTGCTTGCCGTCTCATGTCACATACCATTCATATCATAAGCACATGTCCTTTGCAGAAGCAAGTTGTTTTTGATTACTCATCGTTTGTACCCTATGAAAGTTTATTATCCATTGATGATTATGTTAACTTATCAAAACCATTTGAAGATACCAGAGTTCTTGATAAAAATTATCGACCACCATCAGCAATTGGCATTTCGATTCCTCTTTCAAAAAATATATATAATTTTGATCCTTCTTATGTAGAAAATACACGTTTATTGAACTATGAATTTGCCGGTAAACATATGATATCAGAATATTGCAAAGGTGAATGGTCCAACAATGGATGTCTATGCAACTCTGCTATGAAATTTTCATCATTGCAAGAATATGCAAATTGCAGAGAGAGAGTTTATAAAGTGAAATATGATACAGAATATCATCTCCATATAAAACTTGAAAATGATATAGATGAAGTGAAGGAAGTTTTCTCTCCATCTGAATACCTAGTTTACTTGGAAGAAATTAATGGCCGCACAAGTGATGTTTTCTATGTTACAGATGGCGGAAACCGATTATGCATGGGACCCGAATCGAATCCTATTTGCTATCAACAATCTAATCACTCAGACAAGAGTTTTTATGATACAGTTTCTGAATTTGCATCACATGGTACTAACAATCAACTTTTCAACTCAACTACTTTAACTATAAAGTTTCTGGGAACAGGGTTGTTTCATTTTAGAATTGTTTTAGCCAATGGTTTCTCATATTGCAAATTAAAAGATGAATTCCAGGTATATGTTACAAATCCTCCTTTGCCTTTTCCAGTTGGCACTATCATCAGGCTTACGGTATCAGTGATGATGGGTGGAGCACTTGTTGCTATATATGTACATTCTATACGACATTGCCAAGCCGCAAGATCAGAAACTGCTTCCAAAGAAGATTCAGAAAATAAAGTAATATCTGGCTTCAGAAGAACTAATGCTTCTATTGTGACAGAAGATGATGTGATCAACTTACGTAACAAATTCCGAGCAAGTTTTCAAACTAAATGAAATCTGATATAGTCTATCGAACTTGTAAAAATTTTGTGTTATTTTAAGCCAAATACTATTTTGTTATCCAAAAGTCATATTTAGTTATATATTTTTCATTTTCAGAGTAAAATAAGTAGGCTGTAATGGTATTAACTTGTTAGATCTTATTTTTTGAATGAATGATCTCATTTTGCATATACCCACTTCATACAAATATAATCCTCACGCAGAACTCTAGCATCTGGTCTTGGAAGATACTGACATACGTAAATCAGGTAAGATTATGCATAAACTATTATAGTGGGTGTTTTGTTTAATGATTGTCTCCTAGCAACTGAGTTCAAAACAGAAGACTCTACTATGTTGTTTCTGTGACTGTGTTGAATTATGCATTAGCGAATTTGTCTGCATGCAAAACATTTTTTGGGAACTGTTGCGTCAAAATAGACTTGGAAATAAATATTGAGTTATTCAGTTTATCAAGTTGCAAGTGGTTGATAAGTTTATTAGCTTTTAGTTATAGCTGTGCTAAATTGTTCTTTTCAAGTTTTTAAATCTCTTCATGTGATTAATGAACTGAAACGCTAATTAAGGGCTTCCCATCCTTTTTGTTCACTATGGACACCTAAATTTTTATTCAAAGTCGTATGGACCTCCAAATAGTATTTATTGCAGATATCGAAGTTAAATCACTTGTCTTAATAGAAGTATTTGATTTTAGTGTAGCCTACTCAGTATTATTACTGTATTCAATTTTGGACTGCCAGGAAGGTATGCATGTGGGCCTTGCTTGTCGAGTTTGAACATTTCATTTTGTTCTGGTACTAAGTTTACATATTCATTTCGATTCCAATTTTAAATATTCCATTATCAAAGCACTCTAATTAGTATAGTTCTGATAGATTATTCAATTATTTTATTATTTCCCTTTTTAATTCAGAACCCGGAGACAACTCGCATAGATTGGGTCAGTTTCAGTGAAAATCTTATGGCTGCTTGTTATTCACAAGCATTGAGATCTGTGGGGTCAAGTCACACATATGGAGCATCATTTCTGCATTATCGTTCAAATGCATCCTTACTAATCTAACAGGTACTGTTTCGTTTATTTCAGTTTATCCAACAACATATTTAATAAAAAGTTTACTCCTTTGATTAATATAGCCTAATTATCACTTTATTTTTATAATTATCTGTGGACCCCTCCCCCTGTATTCACGCTGGGGTCCATCTGGACTACCACATGGTTAATAAGCCCTGCACTAATACTATATCAGTGATTCACTGCTAAGTAAAAAATACTGTATTGAATCATGGTAGAAAGATGACGACGGACTGAATTAAACAAGGACCTGTCTGCTAGTGTGCTCTCAGATTAACAAACTGGCTTGTTTTGTTAATACAACCGTAATACGAGCTTTGCTTGCTTTATTATAAATTTATTATAAACCTTATAAAGTTATCTACCTAGGTTATGTTGACATTTGATGGATAAAAATAATTTCAAATGCGTTTTTTTTGTTATTGCAGAAAGGAATGAGAGCTGCAATCTACTATTACATAAAGCGAAGAAAATGGAAATTTATATATGTTATTATTGGAATACTGTTTGTCATGTTTACATTCCATATGCTGCTGAAAAATAGCGTTGACCCTTTGTCTGAATATTCGAAACACAGTAGAGAGAGCCAGAAGACTTGTACAACTCTTTTTGTTGTGGTGCATTTCCGAATTCCTACCAGATATCTTCATACATCTCCACTTCATGTAATCCAACAAATTAAAGAAAAGCTGGAATCATATACTAACACTTCCAAGGGTCATATGTTTGTTGATAACAAAATTGCTGACAATGGACTACCTGAATCAATGCAAGAGTGTGCATATTATATTCGAGGTGCTAATGGCAGTAGGGGAAAATGTGGTTATGTTTGGGGTTTTGACTCGGAGAACCATGAAATAAGGTATGACACTTGCAAGCAAAAAAATCTCAAAACTTCATGGAAATATTGCAAGTTATCACTGGATAAGATTACTGAAATGACCACTGAGAGTGCTGGTCCGTATAATAAATTCTGCTCTCCTAATTTGGCTGCAAGCTGGCCACTGCAAGATATCCATAAATGTGCTTTGACAGATGAGAGCCGTAATCTTCACACTTGGGTTGAGTATGCCAGAAGTCTAGATGAAAATCTCATGAACAATGAAATTTCAAAATATATTGGGTTTCCGATCAGGTCATGGCAAGTATTGGGTCTTGTTATTGAGTATGACATGTATTTGTTGGGGACAGGATTTGAGGTGTTGAGAACAATTCCTGTATATGAGCCTGAAGAAGCAAACATTATTGAGGCTACATCACTGCATAAGAAAAAAGATTCAGGATATTCCAAAATAGGCACAAAATTTTTTTCTACAGAATATATTTCCAAGAATACTGCAACTTTTCCAACATTGCTCAACTCAGCATCTGTTCCAGAGTCAGCAGCCATGGATCAAATGCAATCGACAACCAAGTCTGAAACGACCATGGTCTCCTCCATGCAATCAGAGTCCTTGCTCAAATATGCTACTGCAAACGCCCCATATACAACTTTGTCCTCGATTATCAAACCTTCGAACCTTGCAACACCAACTTCGCAGTCATCTAAATACAGTTCTACAATTTTGTCATCAATCACCAGTCCAATATCTTTTGCTACTACTATTTTCGATTCACAACATGATCATTACATGATTACCACAGAGCATCCAACCCCAAGTATGAGTGACGAAAAAAGATATTATGAAACATTGAGAAAGATATACCCAGAAATGTTTTCAACTTCAACTCCTGCCAAAAAACTCAATAGGCCTACAAAAGAAGCAACCAAAGCAGTCACTTTGGATGACAACTCGATTTATTTTCCTCTATATGGCAATTCGGTCTCATCAGGTGAAGCAGATTTGGAGGGATCCGGAGGTGTTCCGTTTTCATTGGAACACACTAGTGAACCAACTACAACTTTATCAGCTGAATTGGTGAAGGATTTGCAAGCTCTCAAGGAGTTAGTATTCAAAATTTATGGTGTTGTCTTAAAAGATTTACCAATTTCGTTTGGTAAACTGATGACTGAAATTCACAATGCTAATTATGCGCAGGAAGATTCGAAAAAAGTGATTGGACAAATTGAGCATGAAGATGTTAAAAGATCAACAATAACACCTGTAACTAATAGTGTATCAGAAATTGATACAAAGATCATTGCGATTGCCAATGATGATACATTTGATGGTGTTATTGATACACATTTCTCAGTTACCACTTCATTCAATGATGTAACAGCTTCTTTTAGAAGTGTTTCAAGTGCCACCACTTCAAATTCATTAAACAGTGATGCTCTTACTTTGAGAACCCAACAACCACTTTCGGTCATGGATACCAGTGAAACCACAAATTTTGTTCAATCAAATAATGATAATAAACAAAGCATAGACCAATATGAAGACATAGAACAAAATTACCATGACATGTTATCAACATACAAATTTGTACACACAGTTCAGCAATCTACATCCACTATCTCTGTACGATCAACAACATCTTTAGATGTTGAAGATACTTCAGACACAGAATTCCAGAATACAGGCACTACCAGCTTTTCAGGAAATTATTCTAGCAAGATTTCAACAGAGCATAACCATGTTTTGGGAAACCCCACAGTGATTCTCAGGCCACTAGTGACAAGGAATTCAGGTATTAATAACCCAATATCAGAGCCTACCACTATAAAATTCCAGAATGATTTGTCAATTGGTGAGCAGGTTGGCTCTGGATTTTTGACAAATACTCCTTCGTCACAATATGACCACACTAGTTCCAATTCAACCACTCTGCCAAATCCTACAGAGTTTTCCAACATATCCAACGGGAATAATCAAGAGAGTTTGCTGGAGATTAGTACAAAATGGAATGAGAAAATGGCAGTGAATCTGTCAAGCAACCATGTAACAACTTTGGTACCACTATCGGTTGCAGTTGATGTCAATGAAGATGAAAGCGGTTCAACCAAATTCTCCAGTGCGAGTCAAAATAGGTCAATTTCCAATGATTCTATCATTTTACCACAAACTACCCAGGACCTATTGTCTCGCACATCTATCAGCACAACAAAACCGAATACTACATCTTGGACTGATCAAGTCATGCATACTGATCCGAAAGGTACAACTCCATTATATTTAATTGATGTCACAGTGGCACCAGAAGTCGTTGTTCAGCAGTCACATAACATTGAAAAGATTAACGCTAGCAAATTGATTGAACAATATGACTATACACAGCAGCTTAATGATACAGGTGGCAGTAGTTATGAACCTGCTCTTAGACAAGACAATCATTCTTCTGCTGAGATTGTTGAGGATATTACATCAACAAATAAAAAAATTCCATTGGTTTCGATCTCAAAGCCATTATTTACCAATTTTACTACGGGAAATGAGGACGCTGCTTCTGGTCTCGAGCAAGACACCACAAGCTTTACACAGAGTACAAATTTAAGTATGTTAACCACAGTGACAATAGCTGATGATATCACTCAATTTAACAATTCTGATACCACATATGCTTGGCCAAGTAGTAGTAGTGCCATTTCACCCTTCTCGATTCAATCTGACAACACTATTGTCCAGTATTTTGATAATGAAATCACTGAGGAAGAGTCTACTGACTCTAGGTTGCATTATGACCTCATGTCATCAAGGCCAATACTAAACTATATACGCGGAACTGTTGCAACAGAAACTACATTGGATTCAAAATTAAACAAATTACCAACTGCTACTGCTAGTGTGGAGAAGATGGCAATAACAGATACTACCAGCAATGATTTCATAAACATGGATGAAAGTATAAATGTTATGTCAACTGCTACGGACACTTCATTAACGTTAGGTAAACATACTAGACACTATAGTCAAGCTTCATTTACGTTATATAGGCTGAAACTTAATCCACTTCAAGACATAATTACCCGAATAGGTGAGACCTGAGACGTCTTCCTAATTTTGCTGAATCTTCCTTCATACACCTAAACTGACATTTAATACATTGTCGGATAAATTTTGCTGTTACAAATTGTATTCTGATGTATAATATATTTGTATCATTTTGAGATGACGGAATTTGAAATTAGGATGCATGAACTACGGTAGTTATGTTATGTTAACTTTTCGTGTTTACACAGATATTCCCAAGTATTCTAAGGCATATGTCACCTCAGTGTCTTCTGTATTTACTCCGGTTCCAAATGGTGTGCCAAAAAAGCATGAATCATCTGAAAATCCGGGTTAGTAATAAAACATTTCCATTTTAAAACAGTTCCCTGGAAAAAATGAGACATCAATCTGCGATTCGCATAAGAAGGTGTTTGATTCCCAAATTTCTTGGTAGCCAAAGAGACAATTTATAACAATTGCTTCTGATTTTCTATCCTTGCATTAATTTCTATACACGTCAAATTTATGTGAAATTACGAATGGGATGTGTCGTAACCCCAACCAATATGGTATCTTTTTAAGTCAGCGCTGATAATGACGCTCATCTCCGTGATAACTGAGATATTTACCGTACCTTACTCGTTTTACGTCCATGCTGATTATTGGTAAATGATGATCAGAGTTAAGTGATAAATAAAATTATTCATATTATCTCAATAGTCTCTTAATAAAGAATTGCCAACTATTATAGTGACTTATAACAGACTTTCGCTGTGAATGACACACAATTTTTGGTTATTTAAACGCCTTACGACGCCGTGAATTGAACTTTTGGCGCAATGTTTTAATTTTACTGTACCCCCACCCCCTCTTTAAAGAAATCTTCGCTGCGTCCCTGCCATGACATCACGTATCTGTATGTAGCTGTGGAACTCTTTTAAGAGTACATTTCTTTTTTTTGGCCACAATATAAAGGCAAATGGCGGGCAATGTTAGCTTTTGTTGTAAGCTGGCTCTTTGTCTACCGACTTCCATTTAATTTCAAGCGTCTATTCAACACTGCCCTCATGATGTCACGGTACGTGACCAGCTGGAGCTAAAAGTTGAAATTCGTACCTGACAATATGAAGAAACCTAGTTTTGACTAAGATACGCCCCCGTAATTGCAGAAAATGTTTGCCGTTGACTGTACAATGTCACTTGCGCAAATGTTAGAGAGTTGCCACTCGACCATACAATGTCATACAGTTGCTAACACCTTAATATTTCATGTAAAGATTCTATAGCCATTCATTTTAGAGTTGTTTTGCTCTTGAGTTGGTGAATAAATTTGCTCTGCGCTAAATTTTTCAGTTTAAAACCCAATAGGATCGGCCTGCTCATGAATGGCTAATCTGTGTCATAATTTGGGATTATGGCTAAATTAAATGTATTTTGGGAGGTCAATAGTATTTCATAGTGGTCTGCATGTGAACAAAACCAATTTCAAAACTCAAAATGTTCGAGTTTAAATTATCCATGCTTGATCCGAGTGTTCTTAATTACGGTGACGTCATCATATTTTTTTATGTATAATTTTTATTTTGCAACAAGGTCAATTTTATTTGTATAAGTAATAAGTATCTCAAAGCTTAAAAATAAACAAAGAATCTGTTGTTAGTTGAAAACGAAGTATTTTAAACGCGCGAGCAACGTTCTCCGGCTCATAATAAACAAACAAAGATACCAGACAGCACGCGATCAAATGCTCTTCGATAAAACGAATATCACTTCACTTACAAATCCCAGTCTTGTTTTATTTTGAAGGTGACGTAAAGCTCTTCTAAAAGAGAACTCTTTCTCTCGCATATCAATCACGTGTCGACCACAGCGTTAAAAGTGAGAAACTTTTTCTCGAAATTTTTTGAAATTTCTCTCTTCTTATCGGCGTACGGCCGTACACATTTGCGCTACGTAATTTGGGCGCGTTTTAGTGGAAAGCGACGAAAATAAGCTTTTCAAGGACACATTAATGATGTTTTTGGCATTTTTGGTTGGTGAAATATTAAAAAAATTATAGAGGGGTGTCAAAATGACCCAGGGACACCCGAGATCATTAGGTTAAGGTAAAGCTTTACTTTCGTTTTTCAGCTGAACAATTGTATGTAGTGTACTTGATTCAAAGAAGCTATAGATAAAATGATCCCTTGCATTGATTCCATTCATGTTTTGTATTATAATAAATCAATATAAATGTGCCCGTTCATCAGACATGAGCTGATACCTACTAGTGTTAGAGCTTGTTTTATTTCTGCGCGAACCGAAAACTCAGGTACATTAATAGGCAAGAGATCTTTTTAGTTTCTTTGTGATTTATTAGCACATCGCTCGAGACTAATGTATATAATATTAAATTAATATAGTCTGATAAGGCTTCTCTGTGTACTCGTTAGCAAGGAAAAGGGTGAAATTTTTGTAATAAGACCTGGTGAGTGGTGATACACATGTGTTTTTTGAGATCTTATGTTAAACGATTACGTAATTTTAACTACCCCGGTAGATATTGTTTGTACAAAATTTTATAACAGAGTTACACAACGTAGGCGTCAATAATAAAGAAGAGCATAATTGATTGAAGAGACTCGGCATGGACTCGAAATCGAATTGGAGTCAAAAAAATGTGTGGTTTTGACTCAAATCCAAGTCCAGATCCGTATCTCGGCCCATCAGTTTGTATGCAACATTGTTATCTGTCAATGTTTTTCCTTCACAGATACAGAAACATATGTCTCAATCACTGAGAAAGAGTCTACTGACTCTAGGTTGCATGATGACCTCATGTCATCAAGGCCAACACTAAACTATATACACGAAACTGTTGCAACAAAAACTACATTGGATTCAAAATTAAACAAATTATCAACTGCTACTACAAGTGTGGAGAAGATGGTAAGAACAGGTACTACCATCAATGATTTCATAAACAAGGATGGAGGTATAAATGTTCTGTCAATAGCTACGGACACTTCATCAACATTAGGTAAACACTACACTATTGTCAAGCTTGATTTACGTAATATAGGCTGAAACATGGATAAATTCTGTTATCACACATTGTATTCTAATGTGTATGTTTGTATCATTTTGAATTTTCATATTTGAAATTATGACTCATGATCTAGTTACGTTGTGGGAATTTTTTTGTTTACACAGATATTCCCAAGTATTCTGAAGTATACATCACTTCAGTGTCTTCTGTATTTACTCCAGTTCCAAATGGTGCACCAAAGAAGCATGAATCATCTGAAAATTTAGGTTAGTAATGTAATAAAACATTTCCATTTTGAAATAGGTCCCTGGAAAAAATGATGCATCAATCTGCGATTCTCATTAGGAATGTGTTTGATTCCTAAATTTCTTGGTAGCCAAAAACCAATTTATAACAATAGCTCTAGATATTCTATCTTTGCATTAATTCTTATACACGTCAAATGTGGGTGAAATTTATAGTGAATTGTGGGTTTGGTTTGTATGCAACATTGTTATCTGCAAACGTTTTTCCTTCACAGATCCAGAAACATATGTCTCATCTGCTATTTCTGGAAAGTGGTTTGAATATAAGTTACCAGTGTTATGGTCAGAAGTATTGAAGCATAATAATGATTTGCAAATCATTGTCAATCTTACTATGATTGAAAAAGTTCATTCATCAGATCCTGGATTAATATCAGAGGCATGGCTTGTTTCTTCATGCCCAACATTTGGAACCGTATGTGGATTGCCAGTTGCGAGAAATCGAACTAAGATAAATCAGATATCTACTTTTATATTGACTTTTGATGATAAGATTATTACTCTTGCACCAATCATGCTTCATGTTTCAGTGTATCCCATGAGTTCTATAACGCAGACAAATTATGAAATTAACACACACATGGATGTGAAGAACAATATAAATGATGTGATACAAATTTACAGCCCTATACTATTTGCACAAAAATTGGTATCCTACCTTCAAAAAAGGGATCATTCAACAGTTCTTTTAGATATAAACCTTCTGGAGTATGAAGTATCACCACAACCGAGAAAGAAGCGAAGCATCAGCCATTCTATTGAAGCGGTGTGGAGTATGTACAATACAAGTTTGGATAAATTCAATTCCACCTTCCAATCCTCAATATTTGACTGGAGTAGGGGACAGGTAGCTCAGGAATTCTTTTCTGAAATGCTCCCAGAGTTCATCGTCACTCATTTGAGCATAACTCCACGAAACCCAACTCCAGACAGACTGAAATCTGTTAAAAGAAGGAAACAAAGCAGTGTGGCATATGTTTTACTGCCCATCTTCATCTCAGTTTTTATCTTGTTTTCTTGTGTGGCATATTTTGCATTGCGTAAAAAACGTCTAATGTACTTCATTCCTGATATATTTGTAAACAAGACATTTGGTCCTAGCAGGTAAGTTCCAGAGCAGCATTAATACAAATGGCATGTTTTTAAAACTTGCGTTATTTTTTTGTTGATAAGTTCATACACATTCAATTACTCTTGAGTTCTGTGTGCATTCTAACAACATACCACATAATTATCCGTAATGTGTAGAAGTGAAGTAAAATTCAGTTGATTTTATAGTTTTGCGAATTGTATGTCATTTATTTTAAAGATGAACATCCATGTATCAGGTTTTGTATTAGTGCAAATTTAGCATACTTCTATGCTGCTTTTTAAAAAAGTAATGACCCAATTTTATTTATAAGATACTTCCTCACTGTGGAGTGAGGTAACCAAGAGAAACCATCTCCGGCATTTGCTTTTCACAATAGTATTTGAAAATATAGAAATTTATTTATATTTTTTCAACAGAAAACCTATCTATCTTGATGGTGAAATAGAAATGGATTACTTCCATCCCAGAAAAGCAAGAATAATAGTGGAAGACTGTGTATCTGAAAAAGGTGGTATCAGTTGTCAATCGTCTGTTTCATTTCCGAAATTTCCAACGAGCAACCAAAGATATTTGGCCAGCCCCATGCCAAATATGAATAACACTAATGCCTTTGATGAGGTTGCTGTTTTCGAAATGTCAGACGAAAGCATCTGCAATGGCTCAGGTTGCGATGCAAAAAGTGTGGATGGATTCTACTCCTTTACAAATGCTTCATTTCATATACACAATAAATAATGCTAAAACCAGAACACACTTACTCAGACTGAGCGATCATTTGATGGGCATACTCTGTATCAGGATGCTGGTTTTTACAGTGTGATTGGAAAAAACATGCAATGTAACATTGTTTGTGGCACCTGAATAGCTCGTCATCCACATTGGAGTAATGGCTGGCTCCCGATGGATACCTTCTAGTCTGTGAGTTGCTCGTCATTTTGATTGAAATGGGGAATGTCTGTTTCAAGTAAATACCACAAGCTTGGCATGATGACATTGTGCCATTCAGGGCTGGTGGAACTATACCAGAAATTTTAGTACCTCTAGCTCAGCGGTCTGCAACAGGCGGTTCGTGGCCACACAACCTGGCCCGCAAAGCCATTTAGTGTGACCCTCAAGCATAAATCCTAATCACACAGTTAATGATTGAAAATGTGCTCACATATATAAAATATATAGTAACTTTTGTTCTTGTTGCAATTTGAAAAGTGCATTTATTTCTGAAAGGCTAAGCGATAGCCGCATTCTTTTCTCTTGCCTTTCCAGCTAGATTTTTTGTTTGGCTTGTTTAGATAACTGAAGTTGGTTATATGACGCCGATGAAAAATGTTGCACACCCCTGCTCCAGCTTCTAACCATTTAATTATTTTTTAACGTTTATTATTTTCTAATACTTCATACTAATAATAAAATCTATCCTTTTCAGCAGAATTTTTATAAATTTATATTATTAATTTAAAAGTTTCAAGTTGAATTTATATATTTAAAACTAATTTCAAATTTGAAACCCTTATAACATAGTTTTGAGGCCCGCTTCCACGAAAATGCATTTGGGCAGATATTCCAAGATAGTGGTCACACCTAGAAACCTCAAAAAAAAACTGGTACCATCTCCACTTTTTCGTTAATTTAATCACACTTGTGTTTTTCAAGAAGCTCAATCATTTGATTTGATTCATATTGCATATTTATTTTCACATTTTTCTTAGACTTGATGAAAATTTATTTTTATATGATTGCACTGTGTTAGAGGTATACTAAAATGGGTATTCTGTGACCAATCATGTTGTTATTAATCATGTACCGGTAGGTATTATTAATCTTTCGCTTGTAAATATGAAGTCTCACAGGTTGGCAACGTCAACTCTTGTATTTTTATGGTATGGGCCTCAGTACCGGTACTTTAAGATTTAAAATAAACAATGAATAGGATTTTTCATATTTATCCCGGGTTAGAGTAAATCTGATAAGGCGGCTTAATCATTGGCTAACCACGGCATCTCGTTCCGTTATTTGTCCATGCCGGGTATATGAATAGAATTGTTTGACAGTTTATTTGTTTCAGATGTGTGGACTTGATGCGATGGTGAAAGAAAGTATATAATAGCTCATTGCTAGATGATAATGTGTTGATGATGACCGTAAGGGTCTTGTTTTATAGCGCACTAATACTCTGTGTACGCACTATGTCTGTTTCACTGTTTGTGTTGAGCCACTGAACTTGGAGAACTGTTCCGAGGCCACAGCAACATGGCCAGGTTTTGTTGACGAGTGTATAATACTAGATTTTTTACAATGAAATAGTCCTGTAGGTGTGTTGACATATTGCATGTGACTATGTGCATGCACATGATTTAATTGGTTGTGTATAGACATCAAATGAAAATCACATTAGCAGTCCAACGAAAATATTCCCCCAACTTCTATTTTAGAAGAAAAATTCCTTTGACCTCTGCCAAGTTTTTTAACTCACTAATTACAGATGTAGACTCGTGCAAATCAGAGGCGCACCTATCAATGCAGCCTATAATGTTCCATTTATTTGCCTGGGCCTTCACTTTATACCATTTGCGATGCTTACCTACATTGTTGTAAAGGTAACTGACTGTGATTTATTTAATTGTTGGACTGTCATGCTTTTCGTTTTTAGTAATAAACATGGCACATGAAAAAACTCATGGAAACGCCCTAAAAGAAATGTCTCCTTTTCTTCAAGGGAAGGTGGGCGGTTGAAATCAATGAAAGGCCAAACCTAAAAGAAGTGTATGAAATTTACGGTGGTCGAAACCGTCTTAGACTATCGCGGGTTGAACACTCAACTAAAAACGTACGGTACATAAGAATTTTATAAAACTTACCTATATATACCGGTACTTTATAAATCAGAAATAGCTATACATGTTTTTCGAAGTCCGACAGTGGATATAAATCGCACTCTAACTGACCTTATACCAAAGTTATTATTATGGACAGATTATAGATTTGGCGAAGTGCTTACCAGTGTAGCCATTCAACGTCGCAATGTTTTACTTCTTTAGAATTACAGGTTGTCCATCTGAATTTAATTTGCGCTAAATTATATGAAAAAAAAAAACGTGAAATTAGTTGTAAATATAATTCATATATATTACTTAACTCCTACAGGGCCCTAGGTTAACAAGTTCATATATATCAAAAGAAGCGTAAAATGCTGACCATCTGAGTTATAATTAATAAACAGAAGATATAGTTGGTGGCAATCAATCAAAGCAAAATTGAGATGACATGCATTGAGACATACATGCATTCATTTGCGTATAAGATTTGAATTTAATTCGTAAATGTATTTCTTGAGTTACTGGAATCATCAAGTAAATTCTGTCGCATTTTACTGAGATTCTGAAATGCAATATTGAAAAATATTGCTGATATCAAGTCTGCAATTGAATAGCGTTTAGTCAAATTTTATTGTATAAGGGAAATTTGAAAAGAATAGAAAAGTAACTTCGAAGTCTTGCACAACGTATTTTGCGTAATGAAATATTTTACCACATTGTTGGAAATAGGCCTTCATGGGATTTCGTTTTTGAACTCTTTATTTGGGTCAACGTCGCATCCATCTTTTGATGGCAACGCGTTCGTGCTTGTTTCGCTATATTCGTGTATATATATTAAATTCAGTAGAATGAACGTGACATTCTCTATTGTGGCCTGAAGGCCATCCTGAGTCGGGACAAATCTTCCAACTATAATGTAACATATAATGTAAATATAACAACTCCTGTCCCCCATAAAAACGATCTCTAACAATGACATATATATGCGGGATTCACATTCTCCAGTTCCACTTCTTTAACTAAATCGTCAATTTTGTGTGAACGAACGAATTTCCGCAGAAAGGCAGGATTTGATTCATACAATCAAGTATGCAATGAATGAATGACCTCTGGGAGCGCCGTGTTGAAAGTTGAAAAACAGTTCACGTGGAGTTGGATGTAGGCAGTAGTGGGATTCAGCCGGTTCGCCCCGGTTCTATAGAACCGTCTCACGGAATTTTATGAGATCAGCGAACCGGTTAGCATTACATGACTTTTTGTAACAGAACCGCCTGAAAATTCGACATTTGTATGATGCAACCGGCTGACAAAATATTTGAATCCCACCACTGGATGTAGGATGATATTTAAGTCCTATCGAAGCTTTATTTATCAATTATTTTATTTTGGTTCTCTGGCATAAACAACACAAATAGTGAACATCTTGATACCAATGTTGAGCTATTTCTTTCGCTGTACTGCATGTTGTTTAGTGCTATGATTTATGATGTATATATATGTTATATCCATATTATTCTCAAGCATCCTGAACAGTTGTGACAAACAAGTTGTCAGAATCGGGATAGATTTGAAGCTGCTCGAAGAATTCAAAAAAGTGACAAATCTAGCGATTGCATATCGCTTAATTTGATTGAGAAAAGAATCTTTTACATTTACAAGGCTCCTAAAGGTGACGTTGCTGCTGAGTCTCGTGATGATCCCGGATGCCTTAAGAGAAAATTTGTTGAAATATGCTTTCCCAAGTCAAACATACGTGTAACGAGACATCAATGCAGCATGAGAGCACATCACAGATGTCAGATGAATCTAACAATCATTTGTTGTAGACTTGAAAATAAAGCTTGAAAATCAAGTCTTGTGATTAGGTGATCTCAAAGATGAGTTGATTAAAGACAGAATTTTGACTGGGGTTTCAGATGATAACCTGCGAAGACAACTGCTAAAAGAAACTAATCTTACATTGAAAAAAGCTACTGATATATGTGCAGTGGCGTAACTACCCATTGGATCTTGTGGATAAATCCAGGGGCGGCACGTTGCATGAGGGCGGCAAAATGTGGCAAAACGTTTTAAACGAAGCGGAAAAACGTTTTAAATGAACCAAGGCAGTCACATTAAACGACCTAATTTACCACTGAAGCAAAAAAGTTAAACAAGATATAGTCTAAACCAGGTGTTTTATGGCTCGTGGCCCCCTTCCAGCGCCTTTTTGCACTCGCGGTCTCAGTGTTCGCCATTCCAAAAAACGAAAAGTGTTGGATTGTATTATGTGTTTACGACCTATTATGGAATGCAAAAGCAAACCACAGACAAGAAAGTAAACGCTCTCCAGTATCAAAGGGAATCTTGCGCTTAGGACTGCCTGACGAGGTTTCTCGTACTAGGCGCAGTCTTTTTTATAGCTAGACGAATGTCAACATCAAGACGGTTTATAAATTTTGTTTTTGTGGTAATAAAAATTGGCTTTTGCTCCGACAGAAACCCGAACTTAGTCAATGCGCGTTTCTGTCAAACCTAACTCGCTTGGCAGCAAAGAAACCGATGCCAACGGCTTTCACCGGGGGTGATTTTTGTCGCGGTATTTTGGAGTTCAGATAGACGTAATGATTTATTGCTCATTACATACGAGCAATGCCAGCATTAATCACATTCTCTGGCATCTCAATTTACTTTGATAAAGTCAACGGAACTGTTGTTGTTGTTTGTACATCTGTCTGTGCTTGAAGGCCGAGGATCGCAGCTATTCATGTGTTCATCTAAAACGGAACTGTAGTTCCATTTTCGTAATTGCGTCTATAATACGCTAGCGAAGGTGCCATTCTGTAGGTTAGTTAGACCAGACGACCTACCGGCGAATTATTTTCATTGGTAGATTTCAAATTCCATTATGATCAAACAAATCACGCACAAAAAAGTGAATACACCCTGGGATCGCAAATAATCCTATTCAGGTAATGAAACTGCCGTGGAAAGTATACAAACGAGGTCGCTATATAATAAATC